TACTCAACGACCAAGTACCGCTGCCTGCGTTCGAGAGACAAAATGGACACTATTCACTGTAGCACGTGCATTCGATTATACGAATGGCGGCCACCCAGAGAGAGCACTTGAGTTAAGTGTTTCTTTTAACGTTAACGAGCCAGGGGTGGTTGATGTTCGGTAGTTTAAAATACCGAACTAAAGCGAAAACACATTGGGTTCGGTGAAATGGGGAAAGTTAAAATAGGGAAGTTCTTTATAGAAACCCTCATACACACTGCACATTGCTGTGAGTTTTATTGCTGTGAAGCTCTGTGATACCCTCATACACACTGCACATTACTGTGAGTTCCATTGCATACACACACTGTATTATATAATACATTATATTGATGTATTGCATGGTGTGTCATATAACACAGACTGTAAATTATCTGGGTGAATCACTGTGTGTCTGCTGGTTTCTCCAGGTTCCTGTCTGCTTCGATGAGGTAGCTGTCTATTTCTCAGAGGAAGAATGGAAATATCTGAAGGAATGGCAGAGAGACTTGTACAAGGAGGTCATGCAGGAGAATCTGGAGGCTGTCCTGTCACTGAGTGAGACCCTTTCTAAAGTACCGGGTACATTGTAATTGGGAGGAGGGTGAACCCACATTCAGAAAGTGGAGGTTGTCCTGTTATTGCTTAAGGCATGACTTCAGAAGCGGACGTTATGTTATTGTTGGATGAGACATCATTTCGAAAGAGTCCATTATCATTTAATTGGGATAGTAACAATCTAGAAAGACACTGTCTTATCGTTGGGTGAGACCCAATATAGAAAGTAAAACCTCTCTTATCATTGGGTGAGACCCAATATAGAAAGTAAAACCTCTCTTATCGTTGGGTGAGACGCAATATAGAAAGTAAAACCTCTCTTATCGTTGGGTGAGACGCAATATAGAAAGTAAAACCTCTCTTATCGTTGGGTGAGACCCAATATAGAAAGTAAAACCTCTCTTATCATTGGGTGAGACCCAATATAGAAAGTAAAACCTCTCTTATCGTTGGGTGAGACGCAATATAGAAAGTAAAACCTCTCTTATCGTTGGGTGAGACGCAATATAGAAAGTAAAACCTCTCTTATCGTTGGGTGAGACCCAATATAGAAAGTAAAACCTCTCTTATCATTGGGTGAGACCCAATATAGAAAGTAAAACCTCTCTTATCGTTGGGTGAGAAATGAATTAGAGAGGTTCATCCAGTGTGGAACTAACTAAGTGCGAACACTGTGAATTTTAGTTAAAAAGATTGAAGCGGGGCGGGGCCGGACCGTTGAGCTGAAAGGAAGCCATCTCATGCAGCTCTGGTCCTAAGCCAAAAAAAACACTGATTTACTGCTCACAAACCGACCAGCTAACTTTCAAAATACTAAATGTGATTAGAGAAACCGGCCAGCATCACAAAGAAACCAGTCGGTGGCCGCAGACCCCAAAAATGTGAGGAATCTGCAAGCTCAGGCCTACAAGATGGCATGAACCCATGGCCTGTTGCTGAGCTTGGAAACGCCGTGCACATGTTCTGTGAACAAACACGATATGAAAGCACCTGTCTTTCCCAACGAGCAAGAGGAAGAACTGCGCTGCGGCCCCACACCCCCCCAGGACCCGGGGGGTTATCCCGGTCACTTGCTCACTTGTTACTTGTTGCTCCTGACTTAAACTGCAAGTTCCATGCATAAGTTAATGATTACCAGCCTGCAATTGCGGGACGCTGGAAGCAGCTCTACCCCCATGTACCCAGCCACTGCATAGGAGGCAACACTCACACTGTGACAACCCCTTACTTGCCTTCTCAAGGAGCGGACAAAACAACCCTTAACACACTCACCCAGGAGACTGCTCACATATCACTCTGGCACACCGGGAGGGTTGCCGATGGGCAGTGACATCATGACTACCAGGCTGTCTCAGGTCGGACAGTGGCGACCTCAGAGACCCGGAGGAGGCTGATCCCCGTTGCTGTGACCCCCCCTGGGCTGGTCTGTGGAGGGCTGCGGTGGACCAATGGCCGTGGGGCCACATGGACTATGCCTAGGAGAAGTGGCCGGCGATAGATGTCTTACTCACTGAGACTCTAATGGGACAGTGGAGGTGCAGAGGCCGTCTGGTTGGTGGACTCTAGGAGAGGGGGTCTCACGGACTTGGGGGTCCCTCGAGTGCCCGCTGTACAGAGAAGCTCTTGGTGGGGGGCTTTACCAGGAGTTGGATGTTGATGCAGATGTTGGCACTAACGGGTGCCTGATGTTGGTGCATTGAGTGGGCCCTACAGAGGCTTCATAATACCCATCACTATTACAGGGGAACAGGGGCAGAGGGGATGACATGAGATGCATTCACAGGCAGGGATAGCTCTCACCTAAGGCAGGCAGTTATTTTTTTATTGTATTTCTTTACTCGCTTATTTTTTCTCCTTTTAACTCATATAACCTGGCCGCACGTGTTTGGACCAAGATCCCTGGGGTTCACAAGCGGACCTACCCAGGAATCTTCACGTAGGGCCCTATCCTACGAGCCCTTCCACACTCCCGGGGGCACCCTTCCCCTTTTTACTTTTCCCCTTCTCTAATAATTTATTTTATCGCACTATAATTATCCAGATCGCCAGGGGGAGATATACTTGTCACAAACCTAATATGTAGCCTGGGCTGCAGAACCATGACCCCAACAGCAACTCTAAATCCCACATATTTTCGTACCGATTATTAGCTAAATCTATAAGGTACGCGTCTATAATTTTGATGTAAATCCACTAACATTAATGCAGGTACCGGAAGCTACCACTGATAATACTACTAATTAACCTATTCCTTATTATTGAGTTCAATGAGCACAACTTTATAAATGAAAAATACAAGAAGAGGAATGTATCTAATACATGATGCGAGATATATGCATCAAGAGAAGGGGTTCAAAATAGCCAACAAAAGGCCTACTATATAGGCCAGACAGAACCACTAAAATGAAGGAACAAAAAATAATAAAGATTTATTAAACACTACAAAAATGTAACCCAAATATGTGCTACCATATAAACACCAAAAAGTTAAAAATATAAATATAGATACAGGTCGTATGAAAATAATAAAAACAAAATATAATTGCAGATCAAAATATAAGAAACTATTACTATCGGTAGTAGCTGGTAATAAGTCAGGTTAGAAGAGCAGAATGCCGATCTAATGGATCAATAATCAATCAATACAAGGCTGACTATGTCTGATCTTCATTTTTATAATATATGATTTGGTGGCTCCCGGAATGATATCATGTTTATATCATTGATCATTAAATTGTACTGTTTACATAAGAATCTGTCCTAATGATGTATTATGGAATCTAATCGTTTCTGGGTCTTATGGTTGCGTTTTGACCTCCACCCATGGAGCTACTTCAGAATAGACTCAAACGTATTTAATAACTGCATAAACAAATCTGTTTTTGTTACCAAACATTTGTGTAGTAGTTTGGTTTAAATGTTATATTTTTCGATTTTGGAAATCCCAATTCTGTCACCAAAGGGTTAACTATTTGCAGCCGCATAGATCATTCTATCTCTCCAAATGCTTTCCGTCACGTCATTTTAGGCAACCAATGGGGAACTGCTTACCTGGACCAATCAAACAACTTCTTTGGAATTTTAAACCCGGTGCTCACGCACCTCCCGTTTCCTCTCTGACGAGCTAGGTGTAGCGAAACGCGCGCGTCAGAGGATTGTGGTGTGCTGCGCTCCTTGGATCCTTAGTGCAGCACACAGACTAGCGACCGCGCTGTTTTCATTCTATATTTCTATTCAAACATATATAGTGTTTATTCCTATTTTTGCAGATCTTATTAATTTTTATAGCTCTATCTTAACTAATAGATCTTTGGGGGGTTGGAGTTAGGTGCCCTTGAAGGCACGGGACACATATTTATATAGAGGGTGCTACCTTTTCTCATATCGTTAACTATATTTTTTTGTATCATTGGATATTCTTGGTATAGGATACTTTGTAGCACTGGTTATTGCTACTTGATTTTTACGTGTGTCTTTGTTCTACTCTCTCCCTCCTAGCTATTCTCATGTATGCTTTACTGTCGGTACAGCGATTATTGGCTGCTGCCGTTCTATATATACCCCTTATATCTAGTTAATTAGTGGTATCCTTCGATTTAGATTACCACTTTAACCACTTCAATACTGGTTTGAATATCAGCTCAACGTTCATTTAATGATCTCATTTTTCTTTTACTGATATTTATGACTTCTTTTCAGATATTTAAAGGACCTATATAGTCCAATAGCATTTTTTTGATATTTCAAGCAACAGACTTTATAATCTATTGTTGAACCATCAGGGTGTTTGAATGTATGGCACATCATTAGCCACTATGGACAGGAACAGCTTTCTAGATTATGTCACACTCACTGGTTGATAGGACCTATATTAATCTACTAGCTTAATTTTGGTCTCCATAGTACCAGACCACACCACTGATTATTGATCCATTAGATCGGCATTCTGCTCTTCTAACCTGACTTATTACCAGCTACTACCGATAGTAATAGTTTCTTATATTTTGATCTGCAATTATATTTTGTTTTTATTATTTTCATACGACCTGTATCTATATTTATATTTTTAACTTTTTGGTGTTTATATGGTAGCACATATTTGGGTTACATTTTTGTAGTGTTTAATAAATCTTTATTATTTTTTGTTCCTTCATTTTAGTGGTTCTGTCTGGCCTATATAGTAGGCGTTTTGTTGGCTATTTTGAACCCCTTCTCTTGATGCATATATCTCGCATCATGTATTAGATACATTCCTCTTCTTGTATTTTTCATTTTCTATTAGGGGTTACCCCCCCACTTCTATTGTGTATCTAATCTGGCTCTACTCACTTACTGAACTTTATAAATGTGTCCATTCATTATATAATATGCTTCTGCAATGTTACCGTATGTTACCGTATGTTATATCTTATTGCAATACACTCACACTCCTAACTACAAACGCCTACAAATAGATGCGATCCCTGTAGAATACTCTTGTGATGCCTTGGCTTTAAGTTCTGAAATTGCAATATGGCTACCGTGACTACCTGTACTACACTGTAATAATGCACCAATGCTGTACACCAGCTTATACTGTCACATGGCCGCATTTCCTACTGTCACTGTATGCAAGATGATTTAAATACAATATGCCTTTTGAAATAAAAAATAAGTAAATAAAAAAAGATTGAAGAGATTGAGGTTCAGGAGAGGAAAAGACTTGTTAGAAAATAGTGGTGATAATTTTATGATTTCTGTGATTGATAACTAAATGTCTGAAAATACATTTTTTATATTTTTAATGCCACTATAAAGTAAATAAACAAATGTTCTCTATTGATGATCACAATAAAAATCTTTGCCGCTAATTTGAGAACTCTATGGGTTTCCCAGACGCATTATACGCAGCATTTACTGCAGTGTTTGTATTGGCAATTAATGGATTTTACAGGAAGTAACACAGGCCGGCACGGTAACGGTGCTTCACATTCACTCTCAGGCAGCGCTAGGCGAAACGGACTTGCGTTGTCATGACAACACAGCAGTTTGTATGCAGTGCCCCCATAGATACCAGACAGGAAGCAGCCTTTATTAGCCGGAGATTGATTAATAAACTCGGGCTGAGCTGGGTGCCTAGATACATCACAGAAACCTATAACAATACATAAAACGTGGGGTTTCATTTTGGTGTGATGCTCAGGAAATGTTGCAGTAACTGATTTACTTCCGGGCTTTGGGATGTAGTATACGTATCTGATTAACAGCATTCACAGTGCCTCCTATTACATTAACTCCAAAGCTAATTAAAATAAACCAAATTCTTCCCGACTCCATAACAGAACAGGAGATAAGACATTGTGCTGTTTACAACACTGCTCTGTAGAAAATGAGCCTTTTATCATGGAGGCTGTGTGATTGACAGCCAGGGGAGGTGTGGCTATGGCTGCATAAACAAAGTGATTTAACTCCTAAACAGCAGAGAATTGAGCTGTGAAACCATAGGAACATGACCTATACACCAAAACCACACCATTAACTTAATGTTGTTTTGGTGCTTACATTGTCCCTTTAATGGTGCTATGAGGGACATTCAAATTTTAGGATATTTTGTATAAACCAAACTTGCTTCTTCTGAACTTCGTTACATGTTTGCTTTGATATCGCTAAGATCTCCATGCGCTGTTCGATTGGATGTCCTCTCTAGCAAGCTCTGGGGACTTCCAGGAATAAATTTATGTAATTTCAGAGCATATGACTCAGACCAACTGATTATGTGACTTTTTTAAAAAGCACTTGGTTGCAAAAATAGCAATAGTTTATAAAAAAAAAAATAGTATAAGTCGAACAGTTAAATCCTCTGAAATACATCTTAAATAGCGGTTATAGCCATAAAGGTTAAGGAACTGTCCAAAGGTGATGGATATCAATGGGAGGCACTGTAAATCATATGATATGAAATTATTAAAATTAATACTTGTTTAATTTACACTTACTGCCCGTTTAGTTTGCTAAACAGATTGTTTTACAGCAAATTGAATTGGGATTGGAAATGGGATTAACTAATGAAAATATGAAATATGTAGTTCTGATATTGTAATAGTGAAATGATATGTGCATAATGAATGTGTTGTAATTAATAAATGAAAGATTTATATACAATAAGATTGTATATTTTTATCTCTCCCCAGGCTATCAGTATCACCAAACCCGTCCTGGGCCCCTGTACATCCCAGAGGACAGATGTCTTGTTCATTATATGGGAGACCACTTGGGTAAGCCCCCATTTATACTAGAGTTTTACATGGGGAAAAAGAATTATATATGTATTAGTTCAGTTACTCCGAAATTTGTTCCCATGGTGTTTTGGCTTAGAATAATTTCATTCACCCAAATGATTTGTGAAAGTAATTTGGACAAATCAAAATGGCACAAAAATGGGCCAATCAACATACTGCAAAATCTAAATATTATGTATATATTTTACAGCACACTAAATGGAGCATTTTCCGACATTTGGTTTACAGATCAAGTGAGAATAAATAATAGGGAGAAAACGTAAAATAAAATTACATTTTTTTATAATGTATATATTTATTAAATATATAAAAATGTGTTTTTTTTTCTTTTTTTATTGATTCTCCTTTTTGGTCACTTCTCACTCGACCCATAAAACAAATCCGCATTTAGTGGCTGTCCCATCGATAATCTTTTTATGGTACCGCGGACGGAATTCAGAGTCAAACAAAATAGTCCACTGCCTGATTTGTTTGCCGATTCATTCATACGCCATTTCGGCTTTTCGAATTTCAGCTGAGGCACAGTGTGTCCAGAATTCAGACAAATTGTAATTATGGAGAAACCGGATACACAAATCTAACATACAACAATATGTTTAATTTACAATTAAACACATTCCAGACTGCAACCGTCTAAATCCTGTGTAGAGTTCTGTGCTTGTGATGTACTGCCCCCTAGTGGTTACACTATAGAACCAACATTAAAACAACCAAGCATGATGAAAACCACAAATGACCCGGAATGCTGGAGATGCGGGAGAGAACTGGGATCCCTCTTCCACATATGGTGGTCCTGCCCCCTTATCCAGCCCTTTTGGGCAGAGATCCACAAGATACTCACAACCATAACAGAAGCAAACCTACCCCTCTCACCAGACACATACCTGCTCCAACTTACACAGACCCCAATCAACAAATTTAAAAAAACAGCACTCCCACACCTAATAAACGCAGCCCGCAGCCTCATCCCGAGACACTGGAAACAACACATGGCCCCGACTATCAGAGAATGGATAACGAGAGTGGAAGACATCAGACGCATCGAGGAACTCATCCACTCCGCAACGGGACGCATACAACGTTACCATGATGCATGGTACCACTGGCTCCAATGGCTCGCCTCCACCGCACCAATTACGGGGACCACACAACACCTGACAGCAGAGGCAGATGGGACGGTCCAGACGGAACAGACGGACGACAATACGGAAGCTGAACCACCGACCCAACCAAACCAAGACGACCGCTCAGAGCCGGAGATGCCCCTTGCCCCGGAGGCGGGGGGGGTTGAGGTGGGGACCCGGGACCTGACACCCCACCCCCTACCCTCCCGCACCTTACCCTCACCTGCAATGCCCTCACCCCATTAACCTACACTCCCATCCCACCCGCCCCCCACAACACACGTTAAAATACATGACCAACTGCCGACAGGCTGCCTTGAGAATGCCACCTACACTCGCAGAAACGCCACCTCCCCTACAGGACAGACCATACACCACAGCACCCACAAAGACCCACCATGACCAACACATATCGGACAAGGGATGAACCAACCCAACAAGACTGTCCAAAAGCCCAATACCCAAGTGCACTACACCACGATACCAGAACCCACCTAACCCTCACAATCCGGGACAGCACCCGCTCGACCAACACACCCCCGACACTAATAGGATCCCCAAACAGACACAGAAGGACACCAACACAGAAGGGACACCCCAACAAGACTACACCCCGACGCATGACACACACACAGCCACCGCCCACACACATCAAAGAACAGCGACTAGCGCAAAGGGGACACCCACAACAAACGCGCACACAAGACAAAAACTACCTGACGGACCCTCGACCCCCAAACGCCCCACTACTCGACAACCACTCCCTACCCCCCACCCCAACGGATCAGTAGAGACGCCCTCAGGAAGCAGGGCTAGACAAGGTCACAGCAGGAGCACTAAAGTTTCTGCCTTATCGCAGTTTATCTGCTTCCCAACACAAACATACCAATTAATAAAATGACTGAATCTGAGTGTTCTCTATAGCTTTCATGTCTAAAACTTGTGAGAATGGCGAAAATATTCTCTTTCTATTTCTCTAAGACTAGTTCCTTCTTGAAAACTGTCAATGCTGAAAGATGTTGCAATGTAGGAATGGAATCAGATGCTCGCTATTGCTTTGTAAAATTGCTCTCTTCACATAAATACTAACGATACCTTTATACCAAATGAACAATAACTGACATGTACACTATTTTTGCCACCTTCTGTATTGATGCATATAACTTTGTATTGCCAATCGTTATGATGTCAATAAAAGCAAATTGAATCAAAAAAAAAAAAGTTACCAAAAACAAATGAATTGTGGGCAGCAATATACCTGGAAAGAGAGACTTATGACCTTAAAATTAAATATAACGCAAAGAATGTGCACTGCAGAATCAAATAAACAGACAATAATAAAGTTTCAAAATAAGACTAAATAAACTTTATATAGATAAGCTCAGGGATCAGTTTCCCACAACAAACACAAAACTATCCAAGACTGATATCACTCTAAGACGACATACAAAATGTATCACAATAAAACATGTAGATTGGTTTAAACCACCTGATAAATGAGAGCAGAAAAGGCCTCCCATACTCGTTCCTTTTATTTCACATATATTGGCAACTACAGCGCATGCCCTGTAGTTACTATGGAAACTACCTAGCTGACCTGACTGAGTATAGCAGTGTTAATTTTGGCGGCAAATTTCAATTCAGTTTTAGTAATAGTCTTTTGACTAAAAAGCCATTTCAGTTTTAGTTGTGTTTTAGTCATCTGAATTGTTTTAGTTTTAGTTTAGTTCTAGTTGACTAAATCTCCAGTAGATATTAGTCAACACGACTAAAATCTAATGGGTTTAGTTAAAGCCTCTATCTGTCTCTTTTGCCCTTTCCCCAGCCCCTCTTTGTCTCTTTGTGTCCTCCAAGCTCCTCTAGCAGTCTCTCTCCCAAGCACTGGTCTGTCTCTTTTGCCCATTCCATAGCCCCTCTGTGCAGTGTTCATTTTGGCGGCAAATTTCAATTTAGTTTTAGACATAGTCTTATGACTAAAAAACCATGTTAGTTTTAGTCGTATTTTAGTCATCTAAATTGTTTTACTTTTAGTCAACTAAATTTCAAAAATTTTAGTGGACAAAATGAACACTTGAGTATAGGAATGGAGTAACAATGTTGGCAACAGAGTAGCGTGTTGTGTCACACCAGAGTGTTGCCCTGCGGGGAAAATAACAGAAGACAGTGGGAACAATGCAGGCAGACTGGAGGGTGAGTGACACCCACAAAGCTCAGAAGACGGCGGCTGGAGGTGAGGTGTATTCAACGTATTTGGAACAGATTTCAGGTAAGTTAAAACTCTGATTACAGGTTCACTTTAACAACCAAATTGAAAACGCAGAGATTTAAATTTGCAAACCCCATTTTAATTAAAGTAATCGCACTGTTTAGATATAAATCGGTTTTAACAAAGGTGTTATCGAGTGACTGACTGTGTATGTTTCAACAATATCTGCTGGTATTATTAGATGGTCTGTTATCTCAGTAAATCCATTACACAGAGGACTATAAATGCGTTGTTTATAAAACAGCACAATGTGATAGACCCAGTGAAAAATACTTATTTATGTGAAGAAATTTCCTTTGATTCCAGTGACAATAAATAGTTAAGGTTACAATGATATATCTCATTGCCTTGTTATATAATATCATGCCAGCCCTTTTACTTTATATTATATTATATTATATACAATGGCATGATAAAAATAAGCACAACAACAAAAATATAGCATATTTTACATTATTATACATGAGACATATATGTGTATTCTGATTTGTATTATATGTTAAGAAAAAAATAAATACAAAATGTATCCTCTGCTTTATAACTCTGATGAAGATCCATCGTTTAGAGAGTGGAAACATTGGTGATCTAGGCATTACTGCATTATATGTATAGACTTCATTTATATATTCAAATAAAACCACAAATATATACATGTTTCAAATGAGTTAAAAATGGTTGTGATTAGTGGGAGTTACACTCAGACATTTTAATTCAGAGGCTGATAAAACACAAACAGCACAATGCCGTCTCCCCAGTTCTTCTGTTAGCATATGATTATGGGGAACGGCCCCCTAATTAATGACGTAATTTCGGACAAACCGGGACATGTATCATGGTGCTGCCCAATGATTAAAGGCACCATTACCAGTTCAGTGATTTCTGTTATTATTATTATTATAATTTGGTATTTGTATAGCTCCAACATATTCCATAATGCTGTACAATAGAGGGAATACAGACAAATAATGAACACTTATTGATATAGAATGGACAGAAGACCCTGCCCGTGAGCTTACAATCTAACAAATACAGTACTTTTATACAAAGTGCTTGGCTAGATAACTCGTGAGCTTACAATCTAAAGGCAATAACGGGGACTTGACACATAAGGTTGCTCTGGGTATTTGAAGTAATGGCTGGAGATCAGGGGACATATACACGGTATAGCTTGTGAGGTGAATAAATAGTTAATATTACAGATAGCTGCAGGATCGTGCAATAAAGGAAGTGTAAGCGGGTCGTGTGGAAGATGGAGAGCCAGCAACAGGCTTTTCTGGGAGAGGTTGGGAGGGGCAGTACGTGGGTGGAGAGGGGAAGGTATAGGGTTCAAAACATTTTGGCAAAATATTTCTATTTCATTAAAATTAATAATGCGTATACAAATGCATGAAATAGGCACCAGATATATATTAATTGCATAAAACATGCACAAAAAAACCCATGAATAATCTTGGTTGAAATGTACCTTAGTTACCTGCAGAATGTGCAGCAAAACCATTAATGTGTTTGCTGGGAAATCAGGATTGTGAATCTAGAGATGGAAGAAAATGAAGTGGTCATGGTGCGTGGAGTCAGCATGTGCAGCTCTTAGCTATGAAATGCTGTAGAGAGGTATAACTTTCAGAGGTATAACTATACATCAAGCAGCATCATTGGTGGGTCATTAGACAACTGGCTGGCTAATGTCAGAACTGGCTGGCTAATGTAAATTCTGTGTATATTCCTATGTCGTTCTTCACTTCTTAGGTGTATTCCTAACCCATGTCCCCTGCTTCCCCTGAGATTGTATTACTCGTCTCGCCCCATTGCTCAATATTAGATATAAGTAAAATATCCCAGTATGATACCTTCACACACATCAAATTGATCTACTATTGCCAACCTGTTATTAAAAATCTTCCCCTCGCCATTTTAAACCACTTTATCAGCCATATCTTGCAATTCATTACCCTCAGCCATTCCCCTTCCAATTCATTCCCAGCAGTCGCTTCCACCCAATTGTTTTGCTCTTAAACACATTCCTCCAATGCAATGTCAACCATAAAGCCATAATACCATTTCATTTATTCCCACAGACAGACCACTTCAGAGAGATAGGTGGACAGGGGTAAGAAGTATGCCTGAGAGAAACAAAGCTGGACAGGCAGAGTGAGAGAGAAACATAGAAACATAGAATGTGACGGCAGATAAGAACCATTCGGCCCATCTAGTCTGCCCAATTTTCTAAATACTTTCATTAGTCCCTGGCCTTATCTTATAGTTAGGATAGCCTTATGCCTATCCCACGCATGCTTAAACTCCTTTACTGTGTTAACCTCTACCACTTCAGCTGGAAGGCTATTCCATGCATCCACTACCCTCTCAGTAAAGTAATACTTCCTGATATTATTTTTAAACCTTTGTCCCTCTAATTTAAGACTATGTCCTCTTGTTGTGGTAGTTTTTCTTCTTTTAAGCAGGCGGATTTAGAGAGGCAAAAACAGGCAGAGAGTGAGAGAACAAAAGTGCCACGCAGACTGGGAAACATGCGATCATATAGAGACAGAGCAGAAGAAAAATCAAAGGAACTTAAAAATAGTTTTGGTGTTGTGATTTATTGTTACACTCTGTCTAACTGTGGATTCTGGGGAGGTAACGAATTTAGTACATTTGTCAGCGAGCATTCAATCCTATAACTGACTGCTATTAATCCACTGAAATAAATCATTTCCCAACCTTTCACTGACTAACTGTGCATCTCTTAACGTGTTATTCCAACCATCATGAAGTGGTCATGGTAGTTAGAGTTTGTATGTGCAGCTTTTCTATTGAAACTGAGATATTTTACACTTTTGTGCTGGAGGCTAATTGCGCCACCTGCACACATGACTGTCCCAGGCTGACTAATGTAAATTCTGCACACAAAAAACCCCATCTGTTATCAGTGCCTGCAAGAGGGAGTTTCTCTATGAGAAGCATTTGATTGGACATCACGAGGAAGGCTGTGATGTCAACAGGGGCATGGAAACCAGCACGGGAAGCAATGCTCGGTACTAGATTTTAGGTAGAATCTAACTTCTTTGAAAGGGTTTTTAGGGGTGAACCAAATTACTAATGCCCAATTTAGAATATATATATATATATATATATATATATATATATATATAATGACAGAAGCGAGAGTGACCCTTTAACTAAAAAATCCTTTGAAGAATTAATCTTATGCAGGGCAGCAAAATATCGTCCCCCTCCAAGGACTGGATGGGTTCTATGGACCCACCAAGAGCCCTTATGAGAATGCTCTGCCTCATTTTACCTTGCCTCTTTTTTTAACTATTCATTTTTAGATTGTATATTTGCTGACAACGCTCCCAAAACCTTCTGTATTGATGGTTTGCGTTTGCTGTATCAGATTAATCCTTGTCACATTGTTACTCAATGTATCTCATATTGCGGAATTGCTCACTGTATCTCATATTGCGGAATTGCTCAATGTATCTCATATTGCGGATTCATCAAAACTGGTAAATAAAAGGCTGACCGACAAAATGCTGTTGTATCTGTCACCTCTGAAGAAGTAAAACCATCTTATTAGAAAACTTCCCTAGTATGTAACTGTAAAGCCAAATTCTAGCACTGGCCATCTAGACCATTTTCTCACATCTCGAAGGAGAGGAACCCATGTTGGGCAATCTAGTTTGGCAGAACATGTGTTACCTATGTGTTATTAATGTAGTCTTTCCAAAGGATCACAGTACTTGAAATATTCACCTGATCTGCCAGCCAGGACGTTTTATTTCTCTGTTTCTATATGGGCTGATTTTGCGGTGAACTCAGTGAAGCAGAGTCACAATTCCTTTTTGGAAATGGCTTTAGAAAATATAGAAGATTTCTTGGACCATTTTCTGGGGACGTGAATGGCTGGTGTCTACTTCGTCTGCTGTGTGTGGCATATTCACTTTGGATACAAGTGCTGATCTCTGTACTTCCTACGGTATATTCACTGATAACATTATAAGCCCTTTTTTCTGATGAGCGAGACATGAGGAGCTTGTAGGCCGCAGCTCGATACTTCTTTGAGATGACATTGTATAGTATTGGGTTGATGGATGCACTTAGGTAGAAAAGCTGCATAGCAACCAAGTTGAAATACTGAGAGAATACCATTGTACGAATGTCTTCTGTGCTCACAAAGATGATTCTTCCCATATGAAAAGGCAGCCAGCAGATTATGAAAGCCAAAACAACCACCACTTAAAGACAAAAAAAAATAAGAGGCACAGGTTTAGAAAATCAATTTTGATTCCATTAGAAACAAACATAATTAGAGACATCTGTTAGACCCTCCCCTGGCAAATATCTGCCATTATGATTTGTAACTATTCTCTTTTGTAAAAGATTATCAAACCCACCAAGGAATAAGCATGGCGTGTCACTCTAGCTTGTAACATTTATTAGGCTTTGTATAACAGCAAGCAAATTCAAACGTAGACTTCTGAATGTGCACTCATCACCATGGAAACCAATGGAATGTTACTGCTAATTGTTCCACATCACTTCAGTGGTCAGGTTGCTTGAACACCCCTAGCGCCATTTCCTATTTTAATAGCACACTGTTTGGTTTGACATAAGGCTGGGGGTCTGGCCTCCCCCATCTCAACATCATTTATAAAGCGGAATTATAAATGTCAGTTTTGTCAAACCTGGATGATATCAATTAGCTGAGAGTGCTGGGACCCAGAAGACCCTCCCATTATTTAAAACTATACTTAAAAGGTTTGATATTAAACTGGATGACAGCACCAGTTTCAATTATTAGTAAGCAGAAAGGGAGCTGCATTGGGTAGGCTGTTTAGAGAATAGGACTGTCATAATATCAGAATACAGAGCGATGTTTATAGTAAGTCATGGCTAGTATCCCAACTTCAATTAGGTGGCTCAAACTGACACCTTGTTTTTGTTGTTTATTATTAATAGCTAGCCTGGTGACGGCTGATGATGGCTGGTGACGTGGTAAGGGCATCTTTTCTCTGGTTTGTTTACAAGTTAATAAATTATAGTACGGCAAATAAATATTGAAATTTCCAAGGCATGATGATGTGGTACCGCAAAAGGTTTATATTAATGACCATTATTAACTGCAATATTTGGCAAAAACAGCAAATCTGGAAAAAAAATATCCAAATCTCTAAGCCTCACATTGGCTATTTTAGCCTTAAAGGGTTATTTACTAAAGTGAGAATTCCAATTGAATACAAAGTGGATTTCCGATTTAAGGCCAGAGTAGTCAAACAGAATGTATAGCTGGCTTAAACGTTTCTCCCAGTTTGGCTACTTTGACCTTAAATTCAGAATTCCCTTCAAATACTCACTTTAGTGAATAATCCTGATAATTTAGAAAATTCGAATTTCAGTTTAGTACGACTTAACATAAGACCTTTACTTATGCAAAAGGTACTCACATAAATCAGAATACCAGTATAGACATTTCAAATATAAGAAATATTGGAAGAACTGTGTCATTTTTGGCATTTTATATTTATTTGTCGTACAGCGAGATGCATATATTTGAGAATAATGTTTTTTTTTCCCATTTAAAAAAAATTAAATATGCAAGCATTTTATCCATATTCTTAGTTAGATAGATTTGATCATTTTTGTATGCAGTTAATCTACCTTTCCCATATTGCAACAGAGCGGAGCCACTGCAACTCCAGTCCATCAATAATGAAGATTGCTTGTAGATTATACTGCTGATATGCCTAAATCTGAGAATGTATTAAATAACTATCATACAGTACTAGAATGTTATTTTCACCAGACATCAGAAAGTCACTGAGCTATTCCAGTCTAAATTTTGCCACTTGGATTGTAGTTTCATTATAACTCAGTGTTATTGACTAAACATTTGTGGTGAATTTAGCTAAATTAATGTGTAAGGAAAAAATACTTTTTGTTTAAAAAACAAATTCCCGAACTAACAGAAACATACAGACTGTCTTCTTATAAAAGTAATATATGCCAACATGTATTAGAAGCATTGTAACAATAGCCAATAATGTTTGACATGCTTCACTGTGTTTCCTGAAATAGCCTAATAATTTGTGTGATCATTGGATGCTGTTAACATTCCTGTTCTATGCATTTTCTACAGCTATTTGGGTGAAAGGGTTTAATTAACAGTTATATACAATTTTAACAAACATTTTTGTTTGGCTGTCCATCTACTCTCCCAGATTACTGCAATTGTTACAGTGAAGTAAAACGAAAACATACATTAACTGATGATTGCACATATTCACCTAAATACTATAAAGTAAATGGGAGTAAAAGAGTGATGGGTTTTTGAGCACAGAGCTAAAACTGCCTTTAACCCCTTAATGACACATGACGGAACATATCCGTCACAATTCCCTTTAAAGTTCTGAAGCTGCGTCCTTAAAGATGCCATACTGAAAGGGCAAATATCAATATATATAGCAGACAGCAGAGAAACAAAATTAAACATGCAAATTGTATATAAAAGCAAACAAGGTGGCTAACAAAAATTCAAGTAACAATTTATTAAACTATGAATGTTCTCATTTCCTCTTTAGAGTTATCAGGTCACAGACAGGCTATTTAAACACTGAAATGGGCACATTGAAGTGTGCTTGTTGTGACTGACATGATAATATGCCCCACTTACCTAGAATTCGGACAGTCTGCCTGTGGCATTTCTCTCTGTGAGCTGCATTTGGTCCTCTGAGTTCATCTTTGCTCTTCCATAACTTCTTCCCGATGAATCCATAGAGTATAGTAAGGCAGAACATGGGGAAGAAGAAGAAGACGGTGGTGACCCACATCATGATGTCCAGGAGTCCAGACTTCATGGCATGCGGGGTGTATCTACACTCTATACTGTCCTCAGAACTATTGGTTAGATTTGCACGAATCTCATCCATCAAAAAGTAGAAAGGACCCGCTGAGAGCATGGCAAAAACCCAGAGGGCTCCGATGACCACCTTCACCCTCCTCTTGGTGACAAAGACCTTGGCTTTGAGTGGGAAGCAGATGGCCAGATACCTCTCGATGCTCAGCGCTGTGATGTGCAGGATAGTGGAGTAAGTACAACCTTCGCTAGCATAGTGCAGGAACTTGCAGAGGAACCCACCCAGAATCCAAGGTCTAGACTTCCAAAGACGATACAAATCAAAGGGCAAGCACAGCAAGATAATCATGTCAGACACTGCCATGCTGGACAAGTAGAAGTTCGTGGTGGTCTTCATCTCCTTATATCTTCTCACTATAAGAATGGTGATGGTGTTCCCTATAATTCCAATGACCATCACTATGAGAAAGATGACAGTCAGAGGGATCAGTGTGGTGAGAGTAAAGAAGGAACACACATACTTTCCACAGTCAGGTAAATTATAATAATAGTCATCATCCAGGTCCCCACTGCCACTCTCATTGGAGGCTTCAATATTCATAATTTAGGTCTGGTTATCAGATTGTGTTGGAGGTGGATTAGACACACAACTGGGGAACAAGTCGCATGAGACTGAGTGGTAGGGAAGGTTGAAGAAGGTTTCACTGTGATGTTGGACTTGGTCTCAGCTTCAGAGTTATCTCACCAGTAAGGTTCAATGAGATGAGCTGGGAGCATGGACAATTTACTGCTTTCAGTAGAAATCCAGTTAATGTCTTCTGCTGACTGGGTTTCTGTTCAGATGACAACTAACAGGTGATGTGGTCCCGTGCAGTGAGATGCCAAGTGAGCCCCAAAGATGTAGATATACTTTGCAGTGTGCTTGCTTCACCAGAAGTCCTCAGCTGGTTTGACTTTACAGAGAATGAAATACCAGACAGACAGCTGAACAGACTGAGAACTTGCTCTCTGCTGCGCATATCCAGTGCTGAAAGAGAATCTGTAAACTTAATTTGTTCCAGGAACATGGGAGGATGCTCGCCTAGCAACAGCTGATGGGTTAGGCAATAGCATCCTTAGAAGTTGCTGAAGGTTCCAGTGTCCGAACCATGTGACTAGAAGCAAATACACCACCCAAGGGCAAGGTCTTGGTTTCCTGAATTACTTTCATCACGCATTCTTTAGCCCTCAGACTGTATCCATATCAGGTGTGTGATAAACTATGAATACCATGTTTAGGAGAGCTGTTGCGACTGGGTGAAGTCAAAACGTTATTTTCTACCATTTGTAACCCAGTTTTAGACACTGTAATATTTCCAATATACACTCTAAAGCAGCAAAATGGAAGGGAAACTGAGATTTAGTTTCAAAGTTGTAATCAGGGTGCACTACTGTGGCTGAGAGGTGCCCAGGTGCCACCTGTTCACATGACTGATTTTTGCTTCTCCTGGCCACCCACCCACCCTTCCATCTGAAGCAACAGTAACACACTCCACCACCTTATTAACTCACACTACCTGTAACTAACTTTCTTTAAATTCCCAAACCACTATCCACCTCACTACCAGTAGCTAACACCTGTCTGCAAACTAACATTATGGAGCACTACTTAATGTGACAGCAAACTCCACTACCTCTATCCACCAGACCTAGCAATACCAATCCAATATACCTTCCAATAACTGCAAAGCCCACAGGTCCTATTCACCATGCTTCTCTGAGTGCAACTTCTGGATTGAAATGTCATGTAATACTATACTGATATTCTCAGTTTCCTATGGTAGAAGCCACTAACTGAATTACTACCACTGAAATTAACACCCTACTTGAAACCCTCACTATCCCATCTGCAAAGCCACCATTGCCTGCAGATACTATTATACCTAACCTTTTTAGTGTAGGACTGAAAACATCTCTACCACATCTATCCCATCATCTGTATCCATTGCCTGAAAACACTGTACCAACTAACCACTCACTGCCAATTCCTCCCTGACTGCCTGCTAATCCCACTATACCTATCCACCTTAATAACTCATTGACTGTAAACCCCTACTGCATATTACCACTTTTTCCTACTTGCCTATTACTTAATGTCTGCAAATCCCACCACTCATATCCACCATACTACCAGTGCTTCTTGTCCTGTTGGCTGCAAATGAAAATCAGTTAGAAAAGAGTGCAGTTGGATGGAACATTGTGATGTTCTACTATTAGTGGTATTGAAATAAAAGTCTGCAGACATATATATATATTCAATGCACACGATTACTTTTTGTTTTTTGGTACATGCCTCTATGTTGGGGACCTCACTGTAACAATAACTGCCTTAGCATTCTATGATAGACTCCACATACTGGTGTAAAGATCATAAGAGAACTATGGGTAATATCTCTCCCATTAGAATGGATAGACTAAGGGATATAAGGGACTAAACATATTCACTTCTATTCAACATATTTATAAATGATCTTGAAATAGGCATTGAAAATCGTGTTTTAGTGTTTCCAGGTGACAGAAAACTTTGTAAAGTAATACAATGTGAACAAGATATTACTTTGCTGCAGAAGGATTGATAGATTGGGGGACTGGGCACGCAAATGGCAGATGAAATTTAATGTATAAAAATGCAAAGTTATGCACTTTGGGTTAAAGGATGCACAAGCAACTTATACCCTAAATGGCAGTGAATTAGGGATACCTACACACGAGAAGGATTTGGGAATTGTTATAGTCAACAAGCTAGGCACCAACATGCAATGTCAATCAGCAGTGGCTAAGGCCAGTAAGGTATTGTCTTCTATAAAAAGGGGGCATTCATTCTCAGGAAGAAAAAAATATTGAACTTTTTTTAATAAATCATTCATTCTCAGGAAGAAAAAAATATTGAGCTTTTTAAAATTAATCAATGGTAAGACCACACCCCTTGAATATGCTATTTTTTTGGTAAATAAGAGTTTTATTGAATTTTCACAAATGCGTAAGATATGACATTCAAGAACAAAGTGTATAAGCATTAGTGAACGATAATGTTTTTTTTTTTAAAAAAGGAAGCTTGCAGGTCTCCCGACATTTGGTAATAATGTGGACCACGCAGGATTCCTCATCAATTTGCTTTTTACCCATCAAAGCAAGGTCGTAGAAGGTATAGATTCTCCCATGAGAACTGTTGAATACATATCATTACATCTTATAGTTACAGCATTAGTAATAGAATGGGGAGTTCCCTCTAGGTCTGTGATAATGCGAGTTGTGTGTGTACAGCTGGGTATCCTGGCACAACGTAGGAATGGTCTAAATCATATATGCAGTATGGGTCTGCTTAGTGGTATTTATAGTTTTGTCAATGTTGCAGTCCAGTGGAGGGGCTATCTCAAATGTGCTGTCGTCAGTATGGACCGTCTAGTGTGCCCACTGTGGGTTCTTGTTCTCAGTGCCTGAGCTAGCAGACTCAGTTATTACAAATCAAGAATGAAAATCCAATTAGGGGAGAGGTAACAAATAAGCAGAAGTAAAATATAAAAGGAAGGTGGTGTGTGTAGGGCATGCGGGTTCCTCTGCCCTACTTCATCTAGATGCTCGTTCACTGTTTCCAGTCTCTGCATGAGCCAGGTAGATATACCATGGGTGCCATCTTTCCATATGTTTTTGCCTTGGCCTAAAAGCTCTGCCTGTTTAGCTTCTGCTGAGTGAATCTCTTCGACCCGCAGCAACCATTAATCGATAGTTGGGGGGTTTGTGTGTTTCCAGAGGGCAGGCACCAGTGATTTGGCCGCGTGTTTTCAAAGTGTCTTAGGATTGATTTTATTTTATTTTTTATATATTGCAAGAGAGAGTTCAATAGAGTAGAGGAGTACATTTTCAATACGGAATTTAGGGGATTTGCCCCAAATCTCAGTCATTATGCCTTTGATCCCATTCCAGTAAGGTGTTATTTTATTACAATCCCACCAGATATGTCGTATGGATCTACCCGCAGAAATGCATCTCCAGCAACTCTCAGGGACTGCGGGGAATATCCAGTGGAGAAGGGCCGGAGTACAATACCAGTGTGAGATTAGTTTAAAATTGACCTCTTGATATTTGGAGCTTATCAAGCTTTTATGTTGTAAAATGAGGATCTTCTCCCTTTGGGCATCGGAGAAGGTCTGAGATGTTAGTTCCTCCCATTGTCTCTTAACCCCTTAAGGACACAACTTCTGGAATAAAAGGGAATCATGATAGAATATTTCTGTCATGTGTCATTAAGGGGTTACAGAAGTCCATGTGTTCCAAGTTACCCACCAGTAGTTGTAGTAGAGGGTTGACGCTCTACAATATGAACTTGCTGTACTCATGCAAAGGTCCTCAAACCATGATAAGTCTGTCCGATGTACTTTGGATTTGTTTGTCAATTAACGTAGAAATGCTTCAGTTGTGAGTCCCAGAACTGTAGCATCGGGTTGGAGCATACTATGACATTAGTGCAGAAGCTTGTACAAAATTAGTAGAAGGAATGGAGCATTTTAACAAATTTAAATCTATTTAGCTTAGAAAAATTATGTCTCAGATGGGATATGATAACTTTATACAAATACAGGGGCCAATACAAACCATTGTCTGAATATCAATTAAAAAAACAGCAATATACATAGGACACAATGTCATGCATTTAGACTGGAAGAAAGGAGATTTAGTATAAGGCAAAATAAAGTTTTTTTCTTTACAGTAAAAACAATAAGAATGTGGTAATCTCTGCCCAAAGAGGTGGTTTTATTAGAGTATGTACAAATGTTTAAAAAGAAACTGGATGAATACTTGCAAAAACATAATATACAGGGATATAATGTTTAATTAGTGGGGAATAGCTTCTTGATCCAATGAGAGATCTGACTGCCATCCTGGGGTCAAGTAGGAATATTTTCCTAGTTTATTGAAGAATTGGAGAGTGCTTAGACTCGGTTTTGTGCCTTTTTTGGATCAACAGCAAAAACAGATGTGAAAAAGGCTGAACTTAATGGATGCAAGTCTCTTTTCAGCCTATGTAACTATGTAAACAGTGAATTGTAGCAAATTAAAGTCCTAATGGCAAAATGTAACCAAAAATACCTGCTAAATAAGTATGGCTCAACCCAGGTATAGTGACAGCTAGGTTATTTTAGCATTAATTTTGCCATTCAGATTTCAGAGTTCCGTGAATGCACTCATCTGTTTGCATTTTGCAGGTAACAAGAAGAAAAAAAAAATAATACAAAATATGAGTTACAGGGAACACGGCAAGAGTAACAGTACATGTGATCTGACAGGAGCCTGACAGTTACTCAATTATTTTGGGGCTTATTCACCAGCTGGGACTGTAACTCAGTTGGAAAACGTTTCCAAATCAGACAACGCCTTCCCCTGTGTCTGCCCACAGGGCCGGTTTCGAATCCGCCCACAGTATTGCACTGTGTGTCTATGGGATGAAATATGTATGTGCTGATGGTACATAAATAGAGATAGAGAGACTGTGTGTGTGTTTTTATTATGGTGTATGGAGTGTATATAGGATGCAGAATTTGTGGCATAGGATATAGGCTGTGT